TCCTGAGTCGTTTCACCTCCCCAGTGACTTTTCCTCCCTGACCTGAAAGGAGGTTTGGGACAGTGACTTAAGAATCTGTCTGGCTTGGTGCATCCTTCTGGGCTGTGTGATATAAGCACATCATGAGAGTCTCCAGGGCCACTTTTGAGATGTGGGTTTGTCACTGGCAGTGCTGCTCACACAGGAATAAGCCCAGGGTGGTGATGTCTGGGGCTTTGGGATAATGAGAGAGGGACACTGTGTGTTAGAATCCTACAAACCCTGGTCCACGGGCAGCTAACCTGGCTGAAGGAATCTCTCCCACCCGGCACCTCCTCAGAGGCCCTGAGGCTGCTCAGCACCCCATGACTTCTGAGAACTGGGTGCCCAGCTCTTATGAATGGCCCTTTACTGAGGGGAATTCTTTCTCTCAGAGTCACTAGCTCAGGGATGGCCTCTGGGCTTCTGTCACTGGAAGGGGGGAGCTCCAATTTACAGCCACAACAAACCTCTCTGTTCTTTTTCTTTAACAGAATAAATCAATTGGTCTTTGCTTTTGAGCAGAAAAGGGAGAGCTGGGGTCTTGTAGGGTCAACGAGGAGGAGATGAGGGAATATTGAGAAGAAAGCACATCTAAGCAGATCCTTGAGCAATTGCCTCCAGAGAGCCAGCTCCCCCCCCACGCCCCCCACCCTCTTAAGCACTGGCTGTGGGCAGCTCCTCCGGCCTATTTCCATCCTTCTCCTAATAGCCTTCTAAGAGGTCACGTGACAACCTTTGCCTGGGCCTCTGCTTCCCTCTCACCCAGCTTTCCAAGGCTGTAGTTGAAAGATACTTCACAGGTTAAGGCTTCTTAGGCACAGCTGTCGAGCTTATCCCTTTAGCTGGTGAGATCACCTCGAACAAATCCACATTGTGCTCGCAAACTCGTCAGCTTACACCGGGCTTTTCTTCAGCTCTCCATTTTCATATAAGGATGTTAACAAGCAAATGCCCCAGGATTATCCTAATCTTGCTCGCCTGCAGCATGGCTACCTAACAAGGCATTTCAGGCAAGCGCACTGGTCTGCGCTCCGATCAGACTAGAGAAAGGGCCTGGGTTTACTTTTTTTCCAGGGCTTCCAACTGGTCCATTCTGGTTCGACCCCCTGCTAAGAATTTGTATTTCCACCCCAGATAGACTAAAGCAGAATCTACACTTTAACAAGATCTCCCAGGTGTTTCTTATGTATACATCTATAAGAAACTGTAAGAATCACATGGGGATCTTGTTAAACTGTCGAGTCAGTCTATCAGGAGTGGAAATGCAAATTCTCAGCAGAGTGTTGAACCAGAATGAGCTTGTTCGAAGCCCTGTTTTTTTTCCCTGCTCCTAGGATGTGCCTGGACCTCTAGCATGCAAGAGGGAATTCTGTGACTGGTGTGGGAACTCACTGCTTTAGCCCTGTGAAGGGAAATTGGTCCTCAGACCACAACTAGACTTTCTGACCTACCTCTCCCTACAGCATGAGGTGG